TGACTCAAGATCTAAAATATGATGTGATGAATGAGACTTCTGCGAAGAAGATTTGGGAGATTCTTGAAAGCAAGTATTTGACCAAGAGTGTGGAAAATCGCTTGCATTTGAAGAGGAGACTTATCGTTTCCAGTTGAAGAAGGGAACCTCCATTAGAGATCATATGAACCACTACACAAAGCTTCTTGCGGATTTGACGAATGTGGATGTCAAGATTGAAGATGAGGACAAGGCATTGCTGTTGTTGAGTTCCTTGCCCGACGAGGAATATGAGACCTTTGTTCTTACTCTGATTAATGGGAAGGCATCACTTTCGTATAGTGAAGTCACCGCTGCACTTGTGAATTATCAGCTTCGAAAGAAGGATAAGGACGCTTCGGTTGAGCCGGTAGCGGAGGCGTTGGTCGCAAGAGGGAAGGGTCCAAACCGAAAGAATTGGAAGTCACAGTCTAGAGTAGGAAAAGATCAGTGTGCTTGGTGCAAGGAGACTGGTCATTGGAAGAAAGACTGCCCAAAGCTCGACGAATGGATGAAGAATAAACAGAAGGGAAAAGGGAAGCAACCATCATCAGAAGCAAACATCGTATCGGATGGTAATAATTCTGACTCTTCTATTTATTCGCTTTCTATCAGTCCTACAGATAGCTATTCGGAGGAATCTGAATGGATGTTGGATAGTGGTGCGACCTATCATGTGTGCCCTAGAAGGGAATGGTTCTCCAGTTTTGAGAAGCTGGTGGATAGTGGTGTGGTATACATGGCTGATAACCGTGCATGCCAAATCCTTAGGATAGGAAGAATTCGCATAAAGATGTTTGACGGGACTGTTAGAGAGTTAAACGATGTGAGATATGTTCCTTCTTTGAGGAAGAACTTGATCTCGATTGGAGCTTTGGTTGGAGAGGGTCTGAAGGTTCGAATTGAGGACAAGGTTCTCGAGATTGCGAGAGACTCTCGTATTTTGATGAAGGGCGTCAGGAGGAATAACCTTTATTACTTGACTGGAGGTATAGTGACAGGTGGAGAACTGACGACTTCTGTTGATTCGACTAGACCGCGACATTTAGGGCTTGGCCATTCCAGTATTGATTCATCGCATAGATTGAAAGAGGGTGCGAAGACCTGCAGTTTGAAGTCCAGTGAACATGTTGTGTGAGCAAGAAGACCGAGATGAAGTGTGGCACCTCTATTCACCGTGCTAAGGGTCGTTCTGGAGGAGTTCACGTGGATGTTTGGAGGCCTTCCAAGGGAGCATCATTGGGAGGTAATAGAAGTTTGGTTTCCTTTGTTGGTGGCTGTTCTAGGCGTGTTTGGGTTGCAACCAAATCCACGATGGATAAAGTCCTAGTAGTCTCTAACAGTTTGAAGAAGTGTGTGATAGACAGAAAGGTGAAGGTACTCCATTCTGGTGGGAGGTACAAGATGGACCTATTTCTGTATTGGAGCCGAGCTCACGGCATTGCGAGACACTTCGTTAGAAAGGAAATCTTGGGGCAACTAGATAAGGTGACAAATTTGGAGAACCGTGCCTTGCTGGAGGAGGATCGGTGTTTGTTATCAAGCAATGGTCTGCAGAAGAGTTTCTGGACTGAGGCTTCGACATATTTGGGTCATCCTATTAAAGAGTTGTCAACTGCTGTGATAGGAGGTAAAACTCCATTGGAAGATAGGTCTGGTAGTGTCACTTTGGTTGAGGCTTCGATGAGGAAGCCACTTGACTCTCAACAGGTGGAGAGTTTTGGACAGACCTTAGATGTATCACAGCGGGTGGAGATTGATGCTACTCCATATTGGGTGGGGATTTTCCCACATACTCCAGGTCATTCTGCATTGGTTGGGATTCCAGCTGAGGTGACACAGCGTGGAAGTCATTTGGATTCGGATGCAGATGATGAATTGAGTTTTGATTCGAGTGCAGCTGATAGATGTAACTTGGATATGGTCATTGGTTCACCTCAGGTGGAGGTGTTTGAGGCCATTGGAGGTGCTATCAGTCGCAGAGTTGATGATATTGGAGAAGGGTTGCGAACTCTTCTATTGGTTTGAGGTCGTTCGCGACCATTTGGGTGAACTACGTTCGGCTTGATTCCTTGGGCAAGAGGATACGTAGGCAGTCTTTACGATGCAGCCGGTTTTTTGGATTTTGATGGGGGTGTGATCGATTTGGTGAGTAGATACCGACGTTTGGAGAGTGTTTGCACTCTCACTTGGGTTCTCGACTTGTTATGGATTGAGTCCGTTGTCGTGAATTGTTTCACTTCGTACTGGACACAACAAGTGAGGCATTTGTTGCTTTGGTGTCGGCTCAGTTTTGAGAAAAAAAAAACTTCGCCGAGGTGGAGAATTGTGAACCCACGTGAATGACGTGAATGAATTCACGTGAAGACTTGGGAAAACGTGTGAAGAGATGAACTTAAGTGTGGGGGCCACCTACCACGTGAATCAGCAGAGCTTTTTCGTTTCCGCGTGAGATTTGAGGGTCAGGCCCACCCGATTACAACAATATTAATACCCTAATGTTTCCCTAGGGTTCGGTGCAGGAGGTTGGTGTTGTTTCTTTTGCGGCTGTGGAAAGGACGCAAGAAGCAGAGGGGAGAAAGGAGAATTGATTGGCGGCTGCAAGGTGTGCAGGGCAATTGAGAAAGGCAGAGGCGGGAGTCTTCTTGCTGGCTGGCGGCTACGAATTGAAGCAGAAGGACCGGATCTTGAGGATTGCGGCTACAGGGTTTTGCGGCTGCACAAAGTCCTTTTGTAGTTGTTTTTGGGTTTTGTGTCTCCCCCTTTGAGAGAATATTTGTGTGAGGGATCTGAGAGTTTGTGAGAGGGTTTTGTCTGTGAGATTGTAAACCCTAGTTGTATCTCTCCCTCTAATAGTAGATCTCCCTCTCCTTGCCCCGTGGACGTAGGCAGTTTGCCGAACCACGTAAAATTGGTTGTTTGAGTTTGTGGTCATTGTAATAGTTATTAGGATCCCTCGACAGGTCAGTCCTAGAACTGATGAGAGGAAGAGCCGATATCTCACTTGGTTGAGATATCCGCTTCAGATTCTTGTCTCCTTGGTGAGACAGGAATTCTTATTATTGATCTTTCTCTCTTATTGTGCACCAGAAACTCTGTCGAAATTTCCGCTGCGCACAACACGTTGACCACTTGAAAAAGCTAAGTTCCCAATGAAAGCTTCAAATCAGGCAAGAAGCTTATCTCATTAATTACTACCCACAACCCCCCTCCTGCTAATCGTGATCTGATGATATACAATAACATTTAATTATCACAAGCCTTAAATTAAACTCTCTCCTTTTTTTTCAAGCACATTTGCTGGATAAGTTATTACATGTGGCGTCTGCGACAGTCAAAGGGGGCCATTTTGGGGAAAGTTTAGCTTAGCTCGATTTTCCCAGAAGCGGAGGACATCCTTGTTATAGTCAAAGGTATCAACCTCAGTAGTCTCGAAGGTGCTGAGGCAGAGGTAAGGGTCTTTATACGAGTCTCGTATATCAACGATCTAATTGCCCTATGACCATGCATGGATGTTGCGATAGCAACGACAGGGCCTATATTGGATTTGTTTCTGCTGGTTTGTGGTTGTTGTTTTTCCTTGTTTCTGTTATAACCATAAGAGAAAAAAGTTTAATACTTTGTTGAAACAAAATATACACCGTGAATTTTAATACATTAGTTGTTAAAGAAAAGATTACTTTTAGTTTTGTGTTTACAATTATAATCTCACCGAGTGTACATCACTTGCATCGTCCATGTTTGGCCCGCTCATTCCTTTCCCCTCCTCTTGAATTTCGGAATTCAAAAACAGATGTGCTCCTTGCCTAACGATTTAGGGGGGAGGGGAAATTAAGTTTAAATAAGGAATCAATAAATAATCACATGAGAAGTAGAATAGGTAGATGCAAAGGATGAGGAAACAGCTCATTTGAGATAGCTCATTTGAGATGGGATGTTAGAAAAAAGTAATTATTGTTTAGCAATTAGTAATACTAACGTAAAAATAAATGACCATTGAACTAATTATTAATTAGTGATTACTCTAGACAATAAAGTGGGGGCAACGGTTCACCTCCCACTCAATCGGACCCAACAAGAGAAAAAAATGGACTTTGATGAATGAGAATAAAGGGACCTTAATGAATACTATCACACCATTGAATTTTTTATAAACTTTTTGAATGAGAATGTGAATAAAGGGACTTTGATGAATACTCATGCGACTGACGGACATTTTTGAAAAGAATTTTTACATATAGGATGCCATGTATGTATATATGGTCATGCACGCATGTATGGATATGAAACTCTTGGAGAGAGTAATTATCACATATTGAGTATTTATGTGTATTTGTGTATGTATCTATGTACGCAACGAGGGATATCTCCAAAAAAATGTTTTAACATCCTACAAAAATTTATAATAAATGGTATAAGATTAGATAAGTTATGGAATCTTTAAGAGCCTATGAAACTAGTATTAAATATTATTATTATGATGATGTGCAATTAATTTAATTTAATTTAAGTTAAGACTATTGAATGAGAGTTTGAGATAAATTTAATAAGCAAAATAATTAAAGTTGGATTTATCAAAATTGAGAGAGGTAAAAGGGCAATCAAAAGTTTTAGCTCCCCGATCCTCTTTTACATATAATATAGATATAGATTGGATGGAGTGTAATATGTAGAATCTTATTATATATAAAGTAACAGTGCAAAATGTACGCATGTATGGATATGAAACTCTTGGAGAGGGTAATGATCACATATTGAGATAACTTTTTTTATTTTTTATTTTTTAGACAGTTGCCAATTGCCAATCTCTCCAAAGGGAAAATGCCACATATTTTTGCTCCCATCAAACGCTTTTACCGTAGGGTTAATTAATTTAACATAACGGGCCGTCACTGGGCCGCATCAAACATCAGCCAACCGAAGCCCAGCCATCCTCCTCTGTATAAAAGCCCAGCCCCTGCGCCTCTCTCCAGTTACTTTCGCCCCCTCGTCTCTCTCTCGAAGCCGCCCCCTCTCTCTCGCTCGCCATATCTCCAATCGACTAAACCCAGATCGAAGCTAGGGTTTAGTTCCCACCGCAGAATCTCTCCTTTTTCTTGCAGGTAAAGCCCTAGCGGCACCAAGGTACGCACCTCTCTCTCCGATGCCCTCGATTCGTCGATTGCTATTTGTTTCCGCGAATTATTTTTCTTCTTTTTACGTTGTTGCGGTTCGATTGGGAGAGATTTGATCTCACTCGTGCGGGGCTTTAGGGTTTGTTACGGTGACAGTGCGCTTTAGGGTTTGGGGCTAAGTAGACTGATCCCTGGAATCTAAAACCCTAGGTCTATTTGGGCGTGTGTTTACACCCTAAATCTGTTGATGCATGTTGCAGATCTTTGATTTGTGGCGAGACTAGTCGATTTGCTTGATTATTTGCTGGGTTACAAGTTTATTTCCATTCTGTGGTTGTTTGTTGCTCATTCCTTTTCGGTGTAATGTATGTATGTTTAGCGCCCTTCTTAATTTATTTCACAGGTTTGCATTTTCTGAATTGTTGTTGACTTGCATTTAGAACTACGCAGAGATGGTAATATTGATTAAAATTATTCTCTTTTAAGGTGGCTTAAGCTGAGTTGGAGTCTTTCCCATCAGTATGGGTTATGATAACGAGTGCATAGTGAACATCCAATCTCTTCCGGGTGAATATTTCTGCCCTGTATGCCGCACCCTTGTCAATCCGAGCGAATCTTTACAAGCGCAATGCACACATCTGTACTGCAAACCCTGCCTAGCTTATCTAGTAGCCACTACCCCTGCCTGTCCTTACGATGGTTACTTGGTGACCGAAGCAGACGCTAAGGTTTATTTTTCCTGACCTTCTATTTCAATATCCCTGAACCCTTGTCTCTTGGCCAAGCTCTAGTTTTTCTTATTTCTCCGTAATGTGAAATCGACAGCCACTGACAGAATCTAGCAAAGAACTTGCTGAGACCATTGGCAAAGTAGCGGTTTACTGTCTTTACCACAGGAGCAGTTGTCAGTGGCAGGGGACATTGGCAGAAAGCAGTGCCCATTGTGCTGGATGTAGCTTTGGAAACTCTCCTGTGGTATGCAACCGATGTGGAACCCAGATTGTGCATCGGCAAGTGCAAGAGCATGCACTAATATGCCCTGTGAGTTGAAAAATGAATATATGGTATCTTAGTTGTTTTAATTCGGTGGACCATTTTCCTGATAGGATAGTGTTTGTGCTGTTGGTTGACCGCAGGGTGTCCAGCCTCAAGCACAAGCTGGCCTGAAATTCCAGGTTCAAGCTACCCCAGATCGCATCCATCTGCTGCTCAGCAGCAGCTGTAGCTGCCTACTGACATTCTGCTCCACGCAACAGCAGCTGGCTACTCCAGCTGCTCCCAGCACCAAGCTTCTGCATCAGCAGCCGGATGTTTCTTCAGGGCCCACACTCATAATCCCTGCTGCTGCGACTCCAGCGTTGCTGCTGCTCGCTGCTCACAACCAGGCACGCTCAGGCTCGCAACCCCTGAAGCAATGGTACCAAAGCCAGCAACTCAGTACCATACAGCTACATCATCAGCAAGTACCACCCCTGGATATGATGCTTAAATCATCAGCGACAATAACCAAAAAACAGTGATGCTCAGTATCAGCAGCAACGTCTACTCCACAATAGGTCAACCCCAGATGCAGGCTACGGTCGCCAGGACAGCTAGCCGTCAGCCTTATGGGCAACAACCCCAACCTCAATGTGGTTCCCCAACCCAAGTATCAAGCGCACAGCCTCAGTCTCATGTCCAGCCCGGCTGGAGCAGCCTCGAGCCGGCCAGCAGCAGACCACATCTTGCCTCAATCCCGCCTTCAGCCTCACACAAAATCCTTATGCCCGCAACCGGACAAGCGGGCCAACCCCAGCCACACGTAACCGTGCTCAAGTTCCTGCAATGCAAACACCCACCCACATCCCAATGCACGGCACGAGCAGAGTCTTCCACCGCCGTCCACAAACGCTCTCATATATACAAAACCATGTTTTGTTTTTGATTAATGAAAATTATATATTTTGTTTGTATTTTATATTTTTACTTAGTTTTTTCTTTCACTCAGGCCAAGGCGCTCCACAGATGCAGCTCCACCCTCAGTCAAATGCCACCGTTCCTCAGGCCTCCGCTCAGGCACCAGCCCTCGACCTCATAAACATCCACCCCAAACTCATCCAATCCAACAACAGCCTCCTATGCAGATGCAACCTCAACCTCAGTCCCATCCCCATCCGCAGATGCAACCCCCACAACCTCATGCGCATCCAGTATCTGGATATCAATCTTATCCACAACCGACTCTTGGTGTTCCACAACAGCAGCCTCCTATGCATATGCATCCCCAACACCCTCCTCAATCTCAGGGTCAGTTTCCACCCCAACCTCCTCAGATGCGTCCACCCCATTCTCAAATGATGATGCCACCTCAAGGTCCTCCTGCCAATCTTCATCCTATGCAGCAGCATCCGATTCAACAACCAGGCCAACAAGTCTATCCACAACCTAGTTTTCCTCAGGGACAACCACAAGCTCCTTTCCATCCTGGTCAGCAGCCACAGCAAGTCCCTCCCCAGCATCAGGTTCACCCTCAACAGTCTTTAAGGCCTCAGGGACCGGCATACATGCAGCAGCCTGCTCCTGGATATCCTCATCCGCAAGGATTACCACCACAACAAGTTCAAGCT